GTGACGTGAGGAGGTGTCACATTTTGGGTAAACGTCGGGCTAAATTTGTGACAGTTTCGGTGGAGAAAAATAATTGTCATATTTTACAGTTGAATGAAAAATTGGTAACACTTTTAGGTAAACGTGAGGCAGTAATTGTCACATTTGGTAGATCATGCAACAATTGTCACATTGGTAGACATAGCAGTAATTGTCACATTTGGTAGACCATGCTATAATTGTCACATTGGTAGATCATGCAATAATTGTGACATTTGGTAGACCATGCAATAATTATCACATTTGGTAGACCATGCAATAATTATCACATTTGGTAGACCATGCAATAATTGTCACATTTGGTAGACACAACCAACTTTCAGACATGCTAGTGACGTATCACCAGACATCATGCGATAGGTTTAACCGTCACGTGATAGCCGTTTAAAAACCGGTAGACGGTACATCCGGTCCATTTAACCGGCACCGCTGACCCTCTCCTCCCATGCACGTGAGCCGGTCTGTCAGCAGCCGGCATTAAAAGTTTTAACTTCCTCTACGGGAGAGTTCTGTGGTGCTGTCAGGATTTGTCAGGAACACGGGACTGTGACGTAATATTGGTTCAGGAACACGGGACTGTGACGTAATATTGGGTCAGGAACACGGGACTGTGACGTAATATTGGGTCAGGAACACGGGACTGTGACGTAATATTGGGTCAGGAACACGGGACTGTGACGTAATATTGGGTCAGGGACACGGACTGTGACGTAATATTGGGTCAGGAACACGGGACTGTGACGTAATATTTGGGTCAGGGACACGGGGCCGTGACGTAATATTGAGTCAGGGACACGGGGCCGTGACGTAATGTTGGGTCAGGGACTAGGAATAGTGGCGTAATATTGAGTCAGGAACACGAGCAGTGACGTAATATTGGGTAAGGAACACGAGCAGTGACGTAATATTGAGACAAAAAACAACCAGCAAGTGACTTGAAATGGGGATAAAATAGCCCGCCCCATATTAGTTTTAAAACACCAGAGAAAAAAATATGTTTTTTTTTTTAGATTAAAAATTAAAAAGAACAAACAAATAACAGAACGACTAAAATAAAGAAAGCATATCTGGGATAAAAATAAACTCAGTCTCCAGATGGGATTAAATAAATTGATGGAATTATTAATTTTATTATTTGTTTGCGGGAGCTGGATTAGATTACTGTCAAACAAAATTTGAAATTTTACTTTATAATCTGGTTTTATTCAAGGACATGGGCGGGTCCTGCTATCGTGTGTTCACAGCATGTACATACAGAAATGTAACAGGACGTCAAACTAGGGACGTCAAACTAGGGACGTCAAACTAAGGACGTCAGACTAGGAACGTCAGACTAGAGACGTGAAAAGAGGGACGTCAGATTAGAGTCGTGAAAAAAGGACTTCAGACTAGAGACGTGAAAAGAGGGACGTCAAGCTAGGGATCTAAGAAGCGGGACGTCAGTCTGGAGACGTCAAACTAGTTGTGTGACGTGGGACGTCAAACCAGATGTGTGAAAATAGGGACGTCAGACTAAAGATGTGAGTGATAGAGAGAGAAACAGCTGAACGTCACAACCTTATGTAACAATGTAACGATGGTACCGGGGGGGGGGTCACCGGTAAATTTTGTTTATTTGGTCAACTGGGTGGTCAGTAGTTAACTTTTGTTACGGATGTGCTGGGGGCGTGTGGGCGAGTGGGGAACTTTGTTACGATAAGTGGTCTGGGGCCACGATGTAGGGGAAGTCAATTCTTGCTGCAGATGGAGTAGAGTTGGATTTCACAATACACCAAGTATAATTCTAGGACACCAAGTATACATTAAGACACCAATTATAATTATAGGACACCAAGTATAATCCTTAAATACCACATATGATTCTAAGACACCAAGTATAATTCTAAGACTAAGTATGCATTAAGACACCAACTATATATTAAGACACAAAGTATACTTTAAGACACCAGGTAATCTATAAGACCAAAGTGAAGGAGACGATGCCATAACGGGGCCACACTGTGAACAAGTTCTTTGATAGCCACACGTCACAAATACCACGTGATCACCTAACAACACCCCCCCCCCCACTTGCTCGCCTTCACCGCGTTAATTACGTAATTACTTAATAAGAGCTTAGCTGACCCTCCCCCGTCCTCTAATCCTAAATTCGTTATTTTGACCGAAGCTTTGTTATACCTTAAGTCTTTATAATTGTATGATTCAATACCGAAATTTTAGACTAATTACCCCAAGGTGGCGTACAAATAAACCCCACCGAGAAATATCTCAAATGTTTCGACTACAAGCTCGATTTAACACGCACAAATAAAACACAAAGCAATGAGCCGAACAGACTAACTAACGACAGGATGCAAACAAACACAAACGCGAACAGTTGTCTTTAAAAAGGTTAGTCTAAATAATTAAACGTTGAAAAGGAAAACAAAACACAAAGAAAAGTCCAAAAACGTTTGTACTAAATACCGTCAGACTGCAAACAAAAACAAAACAAAGAAATGGACTAAAAGGTTGGACTAACAACCGCGAGAGAACAGTAAAAACCAAACAATCACAGCATTATCCTGTAGTCCCCGTCACTAACTGGCTTAAGTATTCGTCAACACAGCGGCTGGCCAAAACAAACAACTCAGCCTTCAGCTCGAGAGTCGCCGGGGGGGGGGGTGGTTGAAAAACACCCGGGGCCCCAGGATAATGCGTGAAATATGTCGAGGGTGGGGGTAGTTGTTTTAGGCTGGTACCAAAGGGGGTGGGGGTAGTTGTTTTAGGCTGGTACCAAAGGGGGTGGGGGTAGTTGTTTTAGGCTGGTACCAAAGGGGGTGGGGGGTAGTTGTTTTAGGCTGGTACCAAAGGGGGTGGGGGGTAGTTGTTGTAGGCAGGTACCAAAGTGGGTGGGGGTAGTTGTTTTAGGCTGGTACCAAAGGGGGTGGGGGTAGTTGTTTTAGGCTGGTACCAAAGGGAGGGAATAATGGGAGGAGCTTATTTGATTCAGTGTGAAATTAAGGCTGACAGGGAACAGGGGGGGGGGGATAAAAAGGTAAGAGGAAACTGGATGAGGATCAATAAGTATCACGTAACATGAGCTTAACTCAATTGGTGACACGGGACATGGGTTTAAGCTCAATTGGTGACACATAACATGAGCTTTAGCTCAATTGTTGAGACGGGACATGAGCTTAAGCTTAACCGGTGACACAGGCCATGATCTGAACCGGTGAAACTGAAGGTCAAGGGGACTGGGAACCTGGCACGTATCGATGGTGGCAGGGAACATACATGGTGTCTATTGATCTCAAGGAACATACATGGTGTCTATTGATCTCAAGGAACATACATGGTGTCTATTGGACTCAAGGAACATACATGGTGTCTATTGATCTCAGGGAACATACATGGTGTCTATTGATCTCAGGGAACATACATGGTGTCTATTGATCTCAGGGAACATACATGGTGTCTATTGATCTCAGGGAACATACATGGTGTCTATTGGACTCAGGGAACATACATGGTGTCTATTGATCTCAGGGAACATACATGGTGTCTATTGGACTCAGGGAACATACATGGTGTCTATTGGTCTCAGGGAACATACATGGTGTCTATTGGTCTCAGGGAACATACATGGTGTCTATTGGACTCGGGGAACATACATGGTGTCTATTGGTCTCAGGGAACCTGGGGGGGGGGGTATATTTGTGACCGGAAACTTGTGGACCCATTGGTGATCTGGAACACATTTGACAAGTGGTGAGTCAAGAACGTTAATGGTGAGCTATAGTCAAGAACTAGATCTAGACGGTGATCGGGACTGCATGAATCATGTTTGTAAGATTCTTATTCAAACGCCGCTACAATAAGGTAAAGATTGGCGTTAGCGTCAGTGCTAGGGTTATGACAAGTGTAAGGACCAGGCGGTTATGGCTAGTATAAGGGTCAGAGCCTGAATAAGAGCCATAGTTAATGTAACCGAGCAAATGAATAACATCGCGTACGTCTTGGCGACACATTAATGACAATATTACTCTGTTAACTGCTCTCTACCCACACAACATCGACATTCCAGGGGCCCCACACAATGCAATGGTGGGGTAGTGTGTGGTGGTGGGGGATTAGTCAGCTCCGTGACGTTCCTCATTACTACACACACACACACTACACACACAGAAGGCCCATCTAAACAAGGCCCCATAGTCAGAGGCGTAGCGAAGGGGAGGCGGGTGGGTACATGTGTCCCCAGGCGCCGACCATAGGGGCGCCAAAATGGGTTGGAAAAAAAAATGAAAGCTCATTTTAGCTGCATATTTGAATGATAAACATACAAAATATATGAGGGGGGGGGGGGGGGGCAAATAATGTTACACACATTTTAGTTTACCATCCTTAGCGCACATGGGTCGTCTAAAAAATCACAAATACAATCCTAGGGGGTCGGGAAAGGGGGGGGGGGTTCAGAATTATGTGACAACGTATGATAAAGGGGAGGTGGGAGGTTTAGAGAGTGTGACGACACACTTCTGAAAAAATAATAATACTAGAAACTGAATATAAGCAGTTATGTCGCTTTAAAACAAGACTTTCTTTTTGTAAATTGCAATAAAAATTGACCCATACATTCAATGTAGATCGAGCCTAATATATATTTTTAAAAAACCGGCTGTTTTAAAAACAAAAATTGCAATTTTGAGGATGGGTGAGGGGTTGTAGGCTAAGGTGTGACGTCATTTTAGTGTAGGGTGGGATATCTGGCCATTACTGACGATGCTGGGGGGTGGGGGGGGGATAAAAAGTTTTTTAAAAAGCGTGACGTCATTTATGGATGATCCTTCCCCAAGAGTAAGATACAAATAGTTTAAATTAAGTAAATATATAAACAAATCTAACTTAAAATTGGGATAAACATTGAAAACTTAATTAAAATGGTTAAAACTTGAAAATTAATTAAAATTACTCAACCCTACCTGATAAGAATACTGCTAAAAGACCAACAGCTGTGGAAAAAGTGCACAGCGAATATTCTCGACGCTATCCTCGTTCGGAACTGTCGCACACTGCGAACAGCTGATCACAAAACATCAACAATTGCGGAGCTCACTACGTCACACCGCGTCGCTCGCCTCTCTCTCGCCTCGCAACACCGGGGAAACCCCACATCCTGGCGTACTGCGCATGTGTCAGATAAATAAATAGCTCAAGCATCTTCCAAGTTTTTTTGTACATACATAATACATTCATTACATGAGATGCAAAATAAACAGGATGCCTTGTGGGTTGAGGATTTTGAATTGTAGATTCGGGGAATAACTAGAGGAAATAAGATTTTGCTCAAGTTTTATTTTTTTTAATAGACTGGGCTTTGTTTATTTAAGTCCTGTTTCCGTTTATAATCATTTTCACACATACTCAAAGTCTAACATCCTAAAAACTTACTTAAGTGCCCGCTTTACATTATATTACACCCAATTATGAAGCTGTTTTCTAATTTTTTGGGGACGGCGTGGTCTAGAGGTAGAACGCTAGCTTGCTTACCCGAAAGTCTCGAGTTCGAATCCGGGTTCAAGCCAGTGGAACCCAGCTCTAATGGGTACGTAACTGGCGATAGGGAAATAAAAGGCGGCTGGGCACAGTGCTGACAACACTGTATATTCATATGTCGAGGTCAAGAAACATATGAACTCTACTTCATCTGCCCAATGGATCGTTATGTTTAAAGATAAATCTTTGATTTTTTATATTAATTTTAGAGCATTTCTGTTAATGGCATCAGCCCCCCCCCCCCCACACCTCACCAAGACATGTCTTAATTTCTGCTGAACGAAAAGTGCACTGTAATTACATTTCTCCAAATTAGTCATCATTAGAAATATGGCTTAGTAGTAGCAATGTATTGTTTTTGGATAAAATGTTTAACATCTGATTTTGCTAAGAAAATTTTGATTAAGTGTTGAAACATCAGAATTTATTTAGAAAAATAAATTGATCAAATGTTGATCAGCAGTTTTTACCAGGACAATATTGATTGAACGTTTAAGTAGAAAATGTGTAATTGTACTATCCCTCGGGCACAAATAATTTTAAAATCCAAATATGATGGTAAACAAACAAAATTGATTGAACTGATCAAAGTGTGTCTCTGATTGATTGTCGTTTGCATTTTTTAAGGGTTGATCAATATATCAGCTTTTTGATACATGGGTTCGGGCTAGGAAGGGGTCGGATTAGAAAGGGGTCATTGATTTTGGGGGTAGGGGGGAGATTTGGATGTTGCGTGAACAGGAAACAGGATATTTTTGGATAGAAAGAGCAATTCAAAATTTACCTATTTTAAAGGACTGGAAGTTTCAAAATTTACCTATTATGAAATGACTTTAGATGTGGTAAAAGATTTTGGACAAGTTACATAATGTTAAATATTTTGTGAAAGGAAACTTTGATTATCCCGAACACATTATAGCCTAACGTGTTAGTAGCATAAGATTAACACAAGCGCTATGAAAGTTTCATCTATACAACTTTACAGTAACTTTTAGTTCAGCCGTTATATTTACACGTCTAATCACGGGGGTGATCAGGTCGATGGGGTAGGGGGGTGGTACAGATACTAGTTAGACTTCCCTAATGTTACAGATAACTTCAAAGCATGTCTTTTGTTCTATGGGGGAGGGGGGGGGGGCGAAAGAAGGTTAGCCACATTTCCCCCTAGATTTTCTTCAACTGCGTTAATAGATAAACAAGGGGACGTAACCTGCCGCACTTTGACTTCTTCCGTCTTGTGTCGAGTCAATCCTTTGTGACAAGGGTGTCAACATCTTGTTACAGACAGAGCCCCATTATGGGCGACAACTGCGTTCTGACCTGTATGCGAACAAAACTCACCCAAGCAACCTTAGCCGTTTGGTCAAGCCATCTACGTTTTTCACCCCCCCCCCCCCCCCCACCCCATCTTCGCAAGTTGTTTACGTGCTTTAAAGGTGGGATTTTCCCATCCGTATTTGAACTTGCTACTTCTAAACAGTGGTGTAAAAATAGATGATGTTATTTTTAGCTCAAGTGACACCGCTAAAATGGTAGTGTTTATTTCCGTCAAGGGTAGACGAAATAAGCACGCACTTGTAATCTCTAGCTGGCTTTCGAGGAAATAAATACCGTGCTTACAGTTTACATGATATAAGCGCGTTGCTTATTTCATACACCTTAAAACAAAACCGTCTACATGACATGTAGATGATATGCAAAAGATGATTATCTCACTGATTCAGTTTCTTAACCTTTGCCCTGATAAAATAATAGTATTTTTTTAACACCTAGCTATAACATAGCCCTAAACCCTAGCCCTGACCCTAGCCCTGAACCTGACCCTAGCCCTGAACCTGAACCTGAACCTGACCCTGACCCTAGCCCTGACCATGACCCTGACCCTAGCCCTGACCCTGACCCTAACCCTGACCCAACCACGCGGTCCCAATACGCAACGTCTTACTTTCCTTATCACACACGTAACATGCTGCATTTAATCAGACATGTAAGCAGGGGCGTAGCGAGGGGGGGGGGGGCGGGGGTGCGGACCGCACCGGGTGACACCATTTAGGGGGGTGACACCAAGGCAAAAAATAGCAAAATATATAGAGAAAAACTTGAGGGGTGTGCAAATCGAAAGTTTGAGGGGGGGGGGGGAGGTGCAAATCGAAAACTTGAGGAGGGGGGGGGGGGGGCAAATCGAAAACTTGAAAGTTTGTACCCGGGAAGGGTCGCAACGCCTCTAGGGGGTGACACCCATTAAGTGCCGCACCGGGTGACACCCGACCTCGCTACGCCACTGCATGTAAGCAGTGACTTACATACATCAGCTGATGGTGTAATCGTGACTTATCACACACGTAACATGTTGCATGTAATCAGACATGTAAGCAGTCGCTTACTTAGATCAGCTGATGTTGTAATCGTGACCTATCACCCACGTAACATGTTGCATGTAATCAGACATGTAAGCAGTCGCTTACATACATCAGCTGATGGTGTAATCGTGACCTGAGCCACGCACTGACCCACGTGCCAGGTGAGGTCATGTCAAGATGACGTCATCACCCCGCCGTCCAGCCACTAATTACAAATTTAATGACAGTTTTAACCTTTTAACCTTTGCTAATGGTCCATGATGAAACAAGGAGAGAAGATGACAGACAGACGGGATGTCGTATTTTTTTTCTAACAGAAATTATGAAACAACGATGACATCATTCAACACATCATGTAGCACATCATAACATGGTGTTGGCAACACGATTTGGCAACATTCGTATATACAATCCACGTCCACACAATCCACACAATCCACACAATTTACACAATCCACAAAATCCACACAATCCACACAATCCACACAATCCACACAATCCACAAAATCCACACAATCCACACAATCCACACAATCCACACAATCCACACAATCCACACAATCCACATAGTCCACACAATCCACACAATCCACACAACCCACACAATCCACACAATCCACACAGTCCACACAGTCCACACAATCCAATCAATCCACACAATCCACACAATCCACACAATCCAATCAATCCACACAATCCACACAATCCACACAATCCACACAATCCGCACAGTCCACACAATCCACACAATCCACACAGTCCACACAATCCACACAACCCACACAATCCACATAATCCACACAATCCACACAGTCCACACAATCCACACAACCCACACAATCCACACAACCCACACAATCCACACCGTCCACACCGTCCACACCGTCTGTATGGATGAAGGGGAACAACTCACTCACTGACGTTGTCATGGAAACTCATCTTTTAAAATAAGTTACCCTTTTTGACCTGGCGGCCAATAGGGCAGATGAAGTAGAGTTCATTTGTTTCTAAGACCTCGGCATATAAAGGGATACTGTGGTCCAGCGTTGTCTTATGGTCCTAATTCCGGGATCTGAACTCAAGACTTTTGGGTTAGCAGTTGAATGCTCTACCAATATTAATAACAACTAGGCCCCTCACTCAATCATTTATACAATCATTTATAAACGCATGTCTCAGAAAGATCCTGCGAATTCGCTGGCCTAAAACCATCAGAAATGATGTTCTATGGCAACGGACAAATCAACTGCCAGTGGAAGTAGAGATCCTCCAGAGAAAATGGAAATGGATTGGCCACACACTCAGGAAGCCTGTATCCAGCATAACAAGACAGGCCCTCACCTGGAATCCACAAGGCAGGAGGAAGAGAGGCAGACCAAGAAAGACCTGGAGACGTGACCTGGAAGAAGACACCAAGAAGATTGGATACACCTGGGGACAGTTGGAGAGACTAGCCCTGGACAGAGACGTCTGGAAAGCTCTTGTCAGCGGCCTATGTCCCAGTAGGGACGACAGGCAAACATGACATGACATGAGGCCCCTCACTAATTGCAATACATTCACTGTTGTGTCACGCCAACCTAATTAATTAATGTTTACCTACTAACCAATCACGTGATGATGATTCATGGGTTACGTGTCACATTTAGTTCAGCAGACGAGAAACAGGAAGCGAGAGACAACATCAAAGCCGCCATTTTAAAAACTTGGCAGCTATTTCCGACTGGATCAAACTCACTTCATTAAAAAATTGACATTTTTTTGTATTACATTTGATTACACAATGATTTGTTTGCTTGAATGATTTGTACGGGCTTAAGAAACATTCTTGATTACGCAATGGACATATTAAAAAAAATTATTTACAAATTATCGAAAACCGAAGAAGTGGTGTCCTTATTAGGAAATTAATTTTATGACAGCTATTTATGGATTGTTGCCTTGAGCCTAGGGGGAGCTAACTGCTTAACTTTCTCCCCCCCCCCCCCCACTCCCCCACTTAAGCATAAAGTAGTGAGGCAGCGCATAGTCTTTTGTCTTTATGTTTTTATCTCTTTCTACCAGGAAGATGGTGAAGTATATATATATATATATATATATATATATATATATATATATATATATATATATATATATATATATAAATATATATATATATATATATATGTGTGTGTGTGTGTGTGTGTGTGTTTGTGTCTAC